ACGTGAAGACTCCCATTGCAGATTTCTATTACTTTGTAACATTGTGTTTGGGGTGTGTAACTGAAGCTTTATAAAATTTTATTGCATCTATAAGTCTATTTATCTTTAGTTTATCTTCTTACCATTATAGCTTCTATTTTGGTATCCTTTATATCTTCCCTTAATAATTAGAAATTCTGAAATACCATTACAGTTTACGAACAACATAATCTTTCCAAAACTTGTTGTTATTTGCAGATGAAATTCGTGGACTAAAATATTATTTTCGCATTACTCTAGAGTATTTTGTGAGACAGAGTATAGATTACATTAAATATTTCAATTTCTGACATATGCTTTAATCTCATACATATATATGTATTCCTATATTCTATACCTATAATTCTTCTTGTTTGGTGACTATTGGTTGTTTTTTATATATTTATAGGAAATTTTGAATTTTACTGGTTTTATATTTCTTTTTTTTTTTTTTTTTTTTCAACTTTGTGAATTTTGTTCTAAATTTCTTATCTATCTGTCTGACTCTCTCTTTCTATATATATATGCTAGAGAAGAGAGAAAATACGAAATTTGATATTTGATAAATTTCAGCTTTTGCCTTTACTGGAAAACTCTGCCCATTTAAATAAAATGCTATGTCCAACTACCTTATGTCCATTTAAATTGCGATTTCATGTACATTTACGTAAGAAGTATATTTTATCTCTACTAGGAAGAAAACTAATTATGTTTTCTCAGTGTTGTGCAAAAATTAATATTCGATAGAGAAATGTATTGAGTAGTGTGGAAAAACCAGTGGGTTATTTCACAAAACGAAATTAATATTAAACAAAATTGTAACATGTATGTAGCTTTTCAAAGAAAATGCTGTAGAATTATAATATCAGGATAAATGAATACTATACACAAATTTCATACAACAGAAAAGTTGAAATGCCTCCATCTCACCTCAAAAGAATTGGTGCAGATGAGCCTATGCAAAACGCATAATAAGGTTATTAATCATATAATATCGGGCAGATGAAAGAATATATTGGTGAGGAAAACCTCATAAATATATGGATTCCACTTATAGAAAGAAATCTGTAGATATTGATTTAGTTGTGGGGCTTCGTTTAGACGGTATTCAATGAGACTCGTGATACATCCATAAGGGTCTCAGATAGGTGAACGCTGTAGGCGCATTTGTGCATTTTTTCTGAGGATTTACTCGTTCATGTCGTGTTTCATGAGACATGTGGCCTCGAAGTTTAACAAGCCCAGGGTGTCAAATTGAAACTGGGAACGAGGAACACTCATTCCAATTTGAGGACGTTCCACTCTGTCGAAAATAGAACTCACTATTGCTGAGTATCATTAGCTTGTTATGCAATATTCTGTGAACACAGACAACTCCGATTACAAGCCGTATGGTGTTTATTGCATGTAGAGCACTTGTAGAGTTCATTTTCTGTAGTTCTTCCCCTCTCTTAATGGACATATTGTATCCAATTGTATCATGAATGCACTATACTTTACAATAAATATTAGGCATGTTATAGAATAGTCTGCATACTTCTTCTTGAAAAGGAAAATGCCTGCATTTTCTTATGCAGTGATTCTTAAGATAAATCTTTCAATTTTGAAATGCAAAATCATCCAAATTTGCATTGCAATAAAAATTTTGAATACAAATTTGCATTCAAATCTTCCAAATTTGAAATGCATGGAACTTCTTTGATGTTATGTGTAAAGTTGAAAATATAAAACAGTTGATGCAGTTCACAATTTTATTAAGTAATCAAAAAATGTCTGAATGCAGTTAATCTTGGTAGAACACGTACCACATTTCTTGCATTGCAACCGAAATATTACGAAAAATATTACGTAGTGATGAAACATATTTCAAAATAATTCGAGTAAATATTACTGGAAATGAGCCAAAAGAGGCGTGCAACTACATCCATTTATTACTAATTAAGCTATCTTATGATAGCCCGAAAGAGAGAATAAAGAATATTAACCTTATCAAGGAGGAGGTCAGAATAAGTGCGTCCGTGACTGTGTAATTGTAAGTTAGAATCCCCCCTTTCCAGGTTACCCCTTCTCGACAATCATCCTAGCATTTTCGTGAAGAATACCGCTCCGATCTCTCTCTCACCTCCTCTCCCAACGGATACCGTATCTTTTTTAAGCCACGATACACCGAGATATATCGCGTTTTCCAGAGAATCCTGATCTTTTCCATCGGTTGCGTTTTAAATTGCAAATTTGTGTTTCGGGGGAATTCGATTAGTATACGCACAGAATCGCAAAACATCTCTAATTGGGAATCAAAGAGCGAAAGCTGTAATGAAAGTGGGGGATTCCAACAAAAAAAAAAAAGATTCAATTATCTCTCGGCCGCTGAGTTGGTAATTGAATGAATTGAAATCGCGGGCCTAATGAGATGGAAATGAAGTTCGCAAAAAGCTCCTTCTCGTTAGCGAGTGTGCCCGCGATACTTAACTCCACCGTAACCGAGTTACACTGTTCCTGGTTAAGATAGCTCGTTAGTCGGGGCGATTATGCAAATTGCACGCGCCGATTGAGCAGCATTTATCGCCACTGACGGTGACAAAAGGGTTTCAGTCGACGATCGGTCGAAGCCCTAAGGATATTGCTTAGTCTTTCCCCGTCACTCATTACTAAATACCCGTTTGAGGGTCGCAGCAATGAATCAGAAATTCTGATAAAGTACATTCTGACCATCTCACTTTCTCCTTGTTCTTATTTTAGTTCAATGCTAGAACTTGAGTAGGAAAGGGTTGATAAGCGAATAATTTAAGGTCTGCTGATAATTGCGTTACTTTTTATTGTAATCATATTAGAAGCTATGCTGTATAACACCATAGATTAGTATTAATTTAGACATCAAACAATAAAAATCAGCATTATGTTTTCAAATTTTCGCAGGACTAGTTTCGATGATTTTACCGAACCATCAAAACTAGTCCTGTGAAAATTTGAAAATATAACGTTGATGTTTGTTGTTTGGCTTCTAAATTAATACTTGTTCGGCGTGATATTGTATTGTAGAGTCTAGATGGTTTAACTTCTATCTGTATACTGGAGTAGCAGAAAACTACGCAGGAGAAGAGTTCACGTATCCTTTATTAACTCTTTAAAATTTACAATGTGTCAATTGGACGCTAAAAAACTTCGCCTTTACTTGGGCGGTAGCTGAAAGTCAGATAATTGAAACTAAAAGTTGAAATATTAACAAGTGATAAAACTAACCTACAGGGTTCAGCGAGATCCCGATCTTGTACCCTCTTCTAAGCTAATGGCAGCAAAGCAATACAATTAAGCCACTTGAACCAGCAATACGCCAAACGTACCTACGGCAAAGACGGCAGCTAGAGACTAACACTTTTTTCTCCTACCGAAACTCGGCATTTAACTACTTCCTTCAAAATAGAAAATTTGCATTCGTCACGCGCGCTACAACATTTAACTATTCATTCTGGCATTGACAATTAGGGGAATGAAGGCTTATAGGAATGTTTCAAATAAAACTGTAAATTATTAGTTAAAATAAATATAAATCTCTACCTTATCTTAATCATAGATTAGTATTCGTTTCTAGCAATAAGTATCATCTTTTCAACAAACATATCTGAAATTAACAATAATAAACCTGCGTATACTTTTCTAAAGGTTTTTTGTTGAGATCATAAAGCATGCACAGTCAAGATGAATATAACTACGAAATCTAAGAGATTGAACTCACATTTTCTGTTATGTATTTGGGTGCTTTTGCCTTTAAAATTCGACAAATTGAGCTTTGATGTCCAGTAATATTTTTTGTTGAATACAACTACAATATTTGAGATTTATTGTACAAATTGAACTTAGATTCGCAGCAATATTTTTGATTCGATAGATTGAGTTTACATCTAAAGTAAGATTTTTAGATGTCTATAACTGCAAAGTTCCGTAGATTGAGCTTAGATTTTCAGATTTTAAGTGATTATAAAATTGAAAGACTAAGTTTGGATTTACTCTAATATTTTTAGTTAAATAAACTGAAAATTTTAAATGTTTATAGGAAGAGACAGGAGATCATTGAGTGAGCAGCTGTGTCCCCAAGAAGACTTTCACCTTTATTGCTTAATGAATGGGACTATGTTTATTTTAAATTTTTTAACTTATGAAATTTAGATATATACATTAAACCATTATTCATAAAAATATACGTTAAATAAAGTTATAAGAAATATTTTGATAAATATATATAAAAATTAATTAATTCGATTATGAAAGTTCTGTAACAGCTTATGAGATGAAATATCTTGAAATATATGAAATAGCTTGAATCTTGAAAAAGATTTGAAATAAAATGCGAACAGATGTTAAAACGCCACAGCTGAAAAAAATACATATTTCAATTCTAATCATCTTACCACCTAAAATGACCTAAACGTTGTTAAGAAAAACTTGTTTTGTCATTGATAAAAACTTACAGTTACCGCATGATCAATAATGCGTCACCTATTCTATCTACGACTGCTTTTTTTCCATAAAATAAAGCTCTGTTTATAATTTTAGCTAAGTGTTTTATACATATACTAAATGTGTGTTATCATAGCTATTTACTTTGCTTTCACGCTGGTGTGATCATAATTGAAGGCAATTCAAAAAAATTCATTTATCTACACGGTACTTTCCTTTTAGTCATTTATGATGAAAACATATCTCAAATTTCATATTTAACTCCATTTAAAACTGTACTCTGTTTGACAATTTCGTTTTTGATATTTTATTGCTTCAGCTATTTTAAAATAAAGCTTATATGAAAAGGGATAGAAAGTATTATTGATATCGGTTAATCTTTCGCTTGCGTACTTAATGCGATTAGATACCTGATTTATATGTTAGCATCATGAAAGGTTTTAGTTTTCTTTGGGCAAATCGTTTTTCATAATTCCTTTACCTTTTACTTCATAATTCCGTTTACTAAATTTCGGATTCTTTTGCAGGTATATGGTGCCTGAGGCTGGTGTCACTACATGTCCCAACGAAAGTAGTCGTGGGCGACGAAATCAAGTTGTCCTGCGGTTACGATCTCGAAGGAGACACGCTGTATTCAATTAAGTGGTATCGAGACGAAATAGAATTCTTCAGGTTTGTTCCCAGAGATAAGCCACCTGGACAATTCTTCCCTCTTCAAGGAGTGAGAGTAGATGTAAGTCCGATTTTAGCATTTTTCAGTTATTTGAAATACATATCTCAGCACTTAAACGTTCTTTAAAGTTGTTGAACTACACCGAAAATAATTTTATAGTTAAGATTCAGTTATCCATATTCGCATAATTTAAATTAAAGGTATCCATATTTGCTTATTTCAATTTCTACACCAGTCAGTATTAAATTTATTGTTGACTCATTTACGACTTTTAATATTATAAAAAAATCATATAGGATAATACTTATTTCGAAAAAAGCTAAAACATTAATTTAGTTGAACATGGATATTAGCCTACAAAATTGCACAAATATATGTTATAAACACTAACTGAAAAGTAGTTACATAGTATGTACTGGACTGTACTGGACTAATCTGTTTTGTGTGTTTCGGGAGTGATTGCTTAGCCCATTAAGAGCTGTAAATTAAATAAACGTCATGGTGTTGCGTAACCGTGTTTATTTAATCTATGAATCCTGAATTTATTGTGTCATCACGTTACATTTCTGTTTCGGTCAATTTCTTTTCCGCAAAATTTCGGTATGTACGAAATTCATATTTTCTGAAAGTTAAAAAAAAAACAAAAACACTCCCAGTTTGATTTAAATTAAAATAAGCACAGAAATGTTTTCAATTTTAAGATAGAAGTAAAAAAGTGCTTTCAATTTATATATTGATTTAACAGAAATGGACTGTGATTCAGGCAAATAAAATCAATTTTAGTTTTTTAATTTTGTGGGAAAAAGGAGTCATTTGTATTAAGTATTACAGAAATAAAGTGCTTTCATTTTTAAGTAAACCTTTCCTGAAATAAAATGCTATGAAAGGAAAAAAAAATAAAATCCCTTATTTACTTATGATAAATACGTATTTCACCTACCGGAAATGATAACTCAATCATCTTTATTCTTCGCATATTCACATGTACTTTCCTGTTAGCTAATATATTTGAAAAAGATGAACTGGTGCAACGAAAATCGAAAGATACGTAGCATCTAAAAATTAACATGTTATATAAAAGTTTTGGTAACCTGGTTTACGTACGCTCTTCTTGTTTCTATATTATAGAAAGCGTAAACACAACAGTTGCGTAGCTTTAAAATCTTTTACATACATATTTTTGAAAAGATATTAAAGAATAGCACCTGAAAGAAGATTTAATTCTCAGTTTTCTCTCTGACAGTAAAAGAATGTGTGGCACTCCTGCTAGCGTCTGAAATGTCACAGTAGAACCCAATAAATAGTTCATCATAACCCAAACTGTCGTTAAGACTCAGATGGAGGGAAGAAATACATAAAGCAAAATAAATATTATCCTCCAGAAAACTTTACATAATCGATGACTTATATGACCCGTGCGCGCTGTTTTCATTGGTCCAGAAACGAAGGCGAACTTGAAAGAATTTCCACTGGCACTCCAACGTGAAGAGGAGTTTGAGTAATGGCCCATTCCATCCATCTCGATTAGGCACTACAATCCTCCGCGCTTCCTTAATGGAAATTTATAATCCTTACTCCTTTTCCTCAGCCATTATCCATACTTTCCTTAAATAAAGAGAGGTTTTTAAACTAAGCGATCAGGAAAAGGATCTCTGCGAGGTAAAGGAGAGGGCGACGAAAAAGATATTCCAAATCACAAAGTGTTTATGAGCTCAACGTTTCCTGCCGAAAGTGCTAAGCGGTGTGATCTTCTGTTGCAAATATGCCAAAATAATTCTGATTAAAGATTCTGCATCACGAAACAGAAGACATAATGGTAAATATGGGCATGAACCTATTTTTTAGAGCAACTCGTGTGGAAGACTTATTAAATTATATGGATATATTTCCTTGCATTATAAAAACCTCTTCTTTACTATGCTTTTACTGAAGTATTTTGAATACTGTATTAAGTACTTTAATTAATTATTTCTTAAATACTCTAATGTAAGGAACTGTTTACAAAGACCGTTCAAGCCTCAAATGCTTTACAGTAATATAAAAGTTCAAACAGTGGATACGTTGTCCGAATATGGACATATTGTGGAGGTATGAGTATTTGGGCATTGGACTGCGTCAGAACGAACCTATTTTTCTCCTCGTTTGCGTATATTGTAAGTACACGTTCATGCTCATAATCATTTATAATTTTAAACAAGCTAAATCTTGTATATATTTAAGTTAATAGATACAGGATTTTAAACTAGGAGATGCAGACCTTGAGTGGCATTAACTAGAGTCTACAAAGTAATGCTAGACATTATTGTTATATTTCTTGAAGCAAATAAGCTTCTTTTAATAGCAAACAATTCTTGTTTGCGCGCTGTTGTCTAAAGGTTCTGAAAATAGGAAAGCTGTTATATCAGTAGTGGTAAATGCACTAAATCTGAAGTCAGATCTTCAGATCTTCCTAATGTATTGACGACAATATGTAAAAGCTTATTCACTAGATCATGGAATCTAAGCTATAACTATATGGAATCTAAGCTAATTTAAGCTGTAGGATATGGAATATAAGAATCTAATCTAAATAAGAGCCTAAGCGAACTTGTAACAACAGGATAATTAGAACATTTCTTTCTTTCTAACGGCAGCAGAGCACTCATCCATTGAGGCAGTTAGCATATTGTCCAGGTAGCGCCTTTGGCGCAACTATCTTTGCTTCAAAAGTTGCTGGATTGCAGGATCTCAGAGCTAAATTTGTGTGAAGGCAAGTAAAGATATGTATCTCAGCTCTTTTTAAATGTCTCAATTCACAGAAAACACGATAAGTGCTGGTTAAGTCAGTAGTTCAAGAATTAATGAAGAGTGAAACTTGAGTGAGAAGAAAATTTATAATATCCATATTTTTCTTAGCTGCTCCTAACAGAATGCGTGATCAGTACTGAAGCACTGAACTGTTAAAACTGTAATGCTGTCAATGGGTTACCTTAATGTGGATGACTCTTAAGTTAAGATACGCACAGTACAGGTACAAGGTATAGCTGAGAAGGGCATAGCCATTTAAGTAATGCAAATTTACTGCATAAATAATGCCTTATATTTGAACATAAACAATTATCATAGATACTTATAATTAAACTGGTAGCCATGAAATATATTTAGGGTCTAAATTAGGAGAAGGCTGAAGTTTAATACCAAATGCAGACTACTCTGTTTACATTTTAAATTAACAGCTGTCATAATTAAGGCCAAATATGATGTTTTGTTTAGATTTCTCTTTCTGCAAATTTACATTAGCACCAAATTAACGAATTGCGTCAGATTTAAAAATCGAAGTGGAAAAATGCTTTGAAGTTCTAATCTCAGAGTTGAATTCAGAATCAAAATTAAAAAGGAAGGCAAATTATAAATTAATGTTTTATTGAAGAATAGATGCTCTGAATGATTCTTATCCGGAACTTAAGACAGTTACTTTATCTTCATTTTAATCAACATGAAAAGCTGGAATATCTCTACTGGAAAGAATTAGATTGAATGAGCATGACAGTATTTTAATGTTATGGCACTTTCGCGCAAAATCCATTGACTCAGAAATTCAGTCCGACGAAATCTGTGAAACCCTTGCACCCAAAACATTAAATAACTTGAAGTAATTATGATTATTTCAAAAAATCACAATTTTACTTTCAGATATTTCATTTAAAGTAAGTGGATTAAACGGCAAGTTAATGATGAGATTTCTTAACTTGAAAGAAAAGTTATTATTTTTTTTTTCATTGCTTTGAAAATGACTAGTAGATACTATTACTGAAGAAATATAATCTGCTGAAATTATGTGAAAATATATCTGTTTTCGAGAACCAATCTTTTTCAGTAAACAATTTATTATTTACAGAAAGGAAGTATAAGATATGAAGTGCTATTTCACCATTATGTCGTTAAAAGACAATGACAGAAACATTACTTTAAGTACAGGGTGTGGAACAGTAAAACATATCACGAGTTTGATTTGTAATGGTATATTACATTAAATATAGCACAAAATAGTTAGTTTCGAGTATTTATTTTACAGTTTGAATTTCCGAGTTTTTCAAAATTTATTTTCCTTCCTCCCTCAGTAACACGACAGCCCGTGGAGGGTCTTGGCCTTCTTAAGAATTTTCTTCCAGGCCTCTCTTTTCTCGGCTATGGTCTTTCAGTTAATCACTCTCAAAATGATGACGTTCCCTTCCAGGCAATCGACTCATCTGAGGTTGGGTCGGCCCCCTAGTTCTTGTTCCATTGGGCTTAGCCGGGAATATTTTCTAAAATTGATATCTTAAACTAGATAATTTCTTGAAATAGGCTTACGTTTCATAATAAACAGGAAAAAAACTTCAGCAATCATTACAACGAATTATAATTTCAGACTTTAATAAATTAATATTAGTGTTAATAACTGATGATATTTAAATTCTTGAAAAAAAATCTTTTGGAAATAAAAAACACAATTTTGCAAACGCACTTTTGAAAAAAAAAAAAAAAACATTTGCAAAGTTTGGAATTATTTATTTCGTCATGATCTTTTTAAAGCTTTTATTCTTTTCTTTTAACATACTTTCAACTTTAAATGTTATTTAAATAAATTTAATCTGAATATGCGACATTGTTATTCATAAAATATCTTTTTCTCTTATTTAGAATTAAGTTTATTTAAAAATACAGAATAAGTCTCATGGTATGTATTAAATGTGTGTGAATGTACACACAATGCTTTGTACCATAAAAGGACATATTGAGATAATATAAATTATAAGAAAGTTATTTTATTCATGTTGTTTTACTTACAGTTAAAAACAAAAATCGAGCCAACTTCATTCTGCTTCCAAAATAATTTTAAGTTAATGACTGTTTTCGATAAAAATTTGATCACATCCCAAAACCGAAAACTGTAATTTTAATATTAAAGGGAGAAAAGTACTTAAGAAAAACTTCACTTTCCTCTACAGCGAATTAAAATTTTATTGAAGATATCTTAGAAAAGTTAAAAGTTAGAATTTATAGCTACTAAACGTGAATATCTTTCCTACGAAGCTTAACGAATATCACATGCATGAAAGTTGCTGGCATCTTAGCAAATAATTTCGTCAGAACATCAAAACCCAGAATGAATAAAAAGTGCATGAAGTGGAAGATAATGTTTCAAGTTATATTTCCACATAAAAACAGTACGCGTAGAGGGTTCGGCAATACCCAAAAAGTGTTCTTTTCGCCTCGTTCAACCCTGAGAGCTCGTTTGGATGCCCATTTTGACGCTCAAAATCGACATAGAGGAAAGTGGTCAGGATACGGGCCGTTTGCCTTATAAAAATCTCGAGGACTTATTGTGAAAGACTTCTCGGTGCAGGAAGGGAAAGACGTCCTAGCAACACAAACTTAATGGGGCGAAACCCGGGTTTTTCTAGGCTCTATTTTACAGTCTTGGAGTAGCGGATGATAGGATTTTCTTTCCCTTTTTTTATTCTCTTAGCTATCTCGAACGTGAACAGAGTAAAAAGTTTTGACATTGCCGCCCTCTTCTATGTTCTAGGAAGATTCTACTTCGAACATGCGTTTCAAGTGTCACTGAATATTATCCTCGCAATTACTTGCGTCACTTTTAGAGAATCTGATTGTTTATATTCTAGAAACACTGTTATTATTTTCGTCTAGTTTGCCTGCATTGTTCTTTATTTATTCAACAAACTCTCCGTAACTTAATAGTATTTACTCAATATGCTTAACTAATCTATATAATTACTTAGACTGCTACCATTTACCAGTCGGGATAATCGAGAAGAGCTATTACTTGACTTTTTATAAAAATGTTTTATACCACTTGGATCTAATTTGGCTTTTAAGTGTTTATAATATGTTATTCTACTTCCGGTTTTTTTTTCTTCGAAACTCTCATTTTGTTTAGATGGCTTACGATGGATTACGAAAACACGAGCATGTGTAAACTCTTGACTAAATAGAAGTGAGTAACGAAAAGACGGGATAAGATTTTGCTTCAGGCGCCTGACTGATTCGCCCACGCGTCATTTAGTACTTTGTCAGCGTGAAAACATTGTAACTTGAGATTCTATTTTCTGTAACTCTTCTGTTGTTCTGATTTCAACAGATTCGAGAAAAATAAAAATGATTTATTATATATTTGACATTTATATTCACTGCTTCGTAATGAAACCAGCACAGAACAAACTACTTGTACTAGAACTTTAAAATACATATTCATTCAAATATTATTTATTTAAATTTCCAAATTATCGGGTACTACCACAAAATTCCGCATTTGAATTCCAGCAATAATTTCTTAACTGAGTTCAAACTTTTACTATTCATGAAATATATAAGAATGCAATAATATTTCAAAGTTTATCTTTCGGTACTGTAGAAATGCATATGCAAAAAACTCATAAAATACGATCAGGACGATCACACTTCATATAAACGAATTCAAATTAAACAGAACATTTAACTGATTCGAATGATTAGTGAAAACAAAATTTAGATTAGGATGGCAAGAATTATTTTCATATTTAATTGATGCATATTATTGGATAATCAGTGAAAACGAAATTATGTCAGTGCGATCAGATTAGTAACTTTTCCTTTAAATCCAAATTTACTTAACTACAAATCATCAGACATTAAAGTTACCTTGAAAATTGACTTAACCTTGAATACCTTGTCTTACCTTCACTTACCTGGAATATATCCATGGATTGGCCACCATTATCACTTTTGATTTTGGAGATCCTATTATGGCGTTTCAAACGAATGTTCTTTCAGATAACTTGTAGTTGGGCTGTTAATATTACAAAATATTTCCTTGTTCTAACTTAAGAGAAGCTCGCATCTCGGTGCCAGTAGTGAGGACTCTGAGTACGACGAACACCTTTTATTAAAGAAACTGCACACAGAAATATACAAGACGAACAAAAAAAATATGCCATCAAAATCTAAGCTTTCTACCAACGTTGAAATGGAAAATGATGTTAGATCGCTCTTTTTCTGTTATTCACTGTTACATTTTCAGATAAGCGAGAGCAGAGAAATGATACAAATGCAATTGATCGGTTTCCTCGTCATTCGTTGTATGCGATTATCTTCCTACATGGTATACTCAGTCTGAATATACCGACCAGATAGTTGATCTATTATCTGATAGTTAATCACAAAATCGTTATACCTTTTCTTTCGTAGATTCCATTTTATCTGATCATAGGTAGCAAACTAATATGTTGACATGACAGGTATCAGAATGATAACATAACAGTTTCATTTGTGGTTAACGTCTCTCCAACGCGCATCTGGTTCAATAGCTATGCAAGCATGTATAGCTGTATTTGTAATCTTGCAATGCACATGTTCTCATTGATAGCTTCTTTGGGGCACTTTAACACAAGCTACACGATTAATATGGCATATGTAAATTTAGCGTTTAAATTTCATCGTTTAGGAAATAAAAAAAGTATCCTAAATTGATCTTTGTTTCATACGAAACCCTAAATAAATTGCTAATAGTAATGTGAAATTAAGAACGCCCGAAAGAGAGAAAATATGGTGTGGGTGACTTGTATGATTATGTTAATATTAGTTAACTTGTACAGATAGTTGATTAACTGAACTGTTAAAATTAGCAGGAAGAAATGACATTATATATATTAAATCTAAAACAGACTATTTTTGAACTTGCCAGTTGAAGTAGGTATAAGGAAAACGTTTGAGAAAAGTACTGATTGTTAGTATTAACCTACACTGTATGGATATATGTATTGCCCGACTGCTTGTGCCTTTACTGTGTAAAGTTCCTAGACATCCCGAATCCTAACATTATCGAATCCGATATTCTACAAAATGCTTAGATATTTTGTATAATATCCTATTTCGAGAAATCGAAGGTACTTTCTTTTTTTACTTTTCGCCATCGACGGAACAGCTGGCCCACTGGGTTAGGTGCTTTTCAGCCTGCTGGATCCCGTCGACAGAATTAAAAAATAAATACATGACTATATATAAATAAAGAGCTTATTACTGTGTCCTCCGGAAATTGGCCACGGAACGAGGAACTTTGAAATAAGGACCATAACATGGAAAGAATGTGCATGGGGGAACTGCTGAGACTAAGCGAAACACTGTTCACTATTATGATACATTTTAGGCATACAGTTATATTAGGGATGTGCTATAATAATCAGGTACAGATGTAAAGATGATCAAATACATTACAAATTGTGAAATACATTAAATGAGTTCTAGGTTAATTATAATATTAAATATCATTAAAAATAGCAAAACAAAGCAAAACTAACAAGAAAACACAAAACATTAAGTAAATTAATATATGTACGGAGCGGGCTGCTGACGGCACGGTATCTAAGGAACTCCAGGCTGTCAACAATGCTTTTAGCAATGATAGTGCGAAGGTACTAGAATTTTCTTGGTGAACAGGGGAAAACTATACAAGAGAGCATCAATTTAGTTTAGTTTAGAGTTGAGTTCAGTGTTTAGCTCAGCGTGCTGAAAGATCACAGTGTGAGCTTATGCATTTTAGGCTTTTCGTATTTTTCTACTTTTATAGTATTTTGAAATGAGAACTAGTCATTGTGCACTGTTACGTTAACAAGAGCTGTATGAGTACTTTTGTGAAATGTTCCAGAACTGTAAAATCTTTCTTTAGGAAAACAAATTTTCTCAGGCTCTCATCTGTTCTGTGTGCATTCAATCCATTATGAACATGTACACACGTAATAATATTTTAATTAAGCTTTACTTCTAAATCAGGAATATGTCTATAGATTTACCTGTTTACAAATAATTGTTTTTGCCTGGTAGTAAATTTACACTGTAAATTTCTGATTCGCATATTTTCACAAACGTTCCCGTAATATATCATATGATTTGTTGATTTTGGGGTGTCGGAATTCAGAACGGTTTACAGCGCTATTTTTAAAACAAAGCTAGAAAGCAACCAAGTTTAAAAGGAAACTTTAAATTCTATTACAGGCTAAATTTTAAATATCTTATTTATACCTGCCAGTCTCTTGAAAACATCCATGTTAATTTATTTACTAGGACTCAACAATTGCTATTAATAATTAAACCTGAATTATCAATACTAAATCCTTGTCCTCAATTCCTTAATATCCGTTATACTCAAAATCCTCTATTTATCTGTCAGGCAAAAGTTATCATTTTTAAAATACCATGAATTGCCTTTAATGAAGACTTTTCACTCAAACTGAATAAAATTTAGTTATATTCATATTCGTCAGTGTTGTGCAGATAAACTAAAATTGTAGTTAAACACTAAGAAATAAAGTGAAATATAATAATAAATATTTTACATTATCTTTTGCCCTATAATATATTTGCTGCACCAAGTATGGTTTCCTTGCTAATATATGATGGGTAATAATCAATTCAAAACAGGTAAAAAAAGGGATGTACATTAAGAAAGCATAAATGAAGTTAAATTATTTTGAATAACGTTTGATGAACGACATTCATTCTCTTTTATTTAAGTTTTCTCTTGATGATTTGTTTCATTATTCGAACTCGACAACGAGAGGGAGAGACACTACTAATCTTATATGATGTGATACAAAACGTTTTTGTGTTCTTCCGTGGTGAAATAGAGAAAAGGAAGGAGATTAAACTGACGATCGATCTTTTTAATAGAAGGGCCATCGGTTTCCTATAATAAGAGGGCGGTCTCCAGAATAAAAAACAGCAAGATCTGACACTTTTCATCGCTCACTTTCTCTGTAGAGAAACAAAAAAAAAAAAAAAAAAAAAGGGGGGGGGAAGAAAAAGGAATCTACGGAATGGAATATGCTTTCTCATTCTTCACCATCTTTTTTCCAATCTTCTAACTAATTTCAGTGTTCTGCAGTGTTTCAGATTTCCAAAAGATGGGAATCATGACCCTGGTTCAACTTCAAATGAATAAGATGTTTTTAGCAGAGATCACGTACAGGTCAAACTTTAATCTTTTGTTATAACTTTGGTAAAGAGAAAATATGCTGTTACGTTTATGACTTAAATCTCACTTTTAGGAATTTCATTGATAACAGTTTAGAAAACCATATATTTTAGCTGTGAATTTGCTAAAATTTTAATGAAATTGTTAATCAGACAAATTGTTAACAGACAGATTTTGATTAGAAACAAAATTGTACGTATTGTCTCTAATCAAAATCGAAGTTAAAATTGTCTTTTGCTTAAGAAGCCAATTACTAATCGCATTATCATATATTTTTCCGCTGTTCTTATTTTTACAAGAAACTGATAACGATTACGCAGGAAGGTAGAATAAGCAACTCTGATGCATCCAAGCAAACTTATAGTTGAAAAAACTTAATAAAAAGCGCTTGTAGATCTTCAAATAAAACACGGTAAAAGTGAAGGCTGTGACATTGGTTTGAGTCCAAGATATCCCATGCTCCTGTTCTTTGTCTGCGTTAATTAATATCGAATTAATACCGAAACCAAACGCGAAATGCAAGATTTAGATAATTTTACTTTACAGTGCGACGTCAGTGAATCCTAGATTAATGTCTATATCAACTGAATAAATTCTCTGTTGATTTAGGTATTAATTATATTGTGAGTTGACCTATTCCTTAAATATATTTGCAACACAACTTAACGAAATTAACGACAAATTATTCTTTAAATTCAGGCCGTTTCCCCAAGTTAAATAAGAAGTCATATATTTACTTTCTTGTTCAACATTAGCTGTGTTTTTGTTCTTTTGTTATTGCATTTAACATTGGAAACAGATTTCTAAATCTGACTGAGATTTATTAAACGAATTATAGACTGTCTAATAACAAACACTTTTAGTTGGGGTAAATAATTGAACTTCAGGCTTAAGAAATAATTTTGAAATATTGTTGCGTGCGTATGGGTTCGTAATAGATTGAATGCACAAGACTGATGAAAAGCTAAAAAATGTATTCTTATCACAAGAAATAAAACAAATGCTGAAATTTTTCCTCACAGATATTCGTAAAGTATCACAACATCACACAGTAGTTATATTTTAGAACATAGTTCAAACGCAGAGAAAGCTAATCCGATTTCCTCTCGAATTAGCTACAGTTAACTACAAAT